AATCTCAGGAACAATTTAGTATTTATAACTGTCATCTTTAAAATGATGTAACAAGAGATTGCTTTGCTTATGTAATTTAATCAAGATAATCACAGCAGAACTTTTATGTTATAATTGAAACTTTTGATATCCTATTAACTTCTCTTCCTATTCTAAGTTGTAATTCCTTATATGTTAACAAACATATGTTAGTTTTCCTTCTTGTTTATTTTTCATGCTATTTTCTTCATTTAATAAATGCTTTCTTTAACATCCCTGAACTACCCCATGTTTATACTTATGACATGCAAATCATACGATATTTTATTTTGGGTTTTACCTACCTGGATTGATTATGTGCTCATTCCAAACAAGTCCCAATTAATTAAGTCCCTTAAAAATATAATCAAGTTTCTTGATCATAGCTAAAATTTAAAACTGTGTAGGAATAGGAGAATAAGGATAAAGGACCAAGATCAAAGACTATGAATTTGGGGCACTGTCTTAATATTTTCATAGGAAATACAGTTGTATGTAGGAAGCAGCAGCCACTATAGTAGAGGAAGAAAAGGTAGTGTTCCTTTTGAAAGGCAGACCCCAGGATAATGCTGAGTTTGGCCACGAGAAAGGCAAAGACTGCTACGTTATCTGTTTCTGAATTAGAAAAAAATATCTTTAGAATATAAATACCTGCACTGCCATGGAGTTGATTTAGATAGAACCTTTCTTAAATATAAGGTAGAAGGAATTATGTGTTGGTGTTTTACATATCAGCAAAAATATTTAGAAAATTTTATATTCAAAACCTGCATTATATGAACCAGAAATTAACATTAAAGTTAAACAAGTTAGCTGATTTTTTCTGATCATAAAAAGAGAGAGACTTAGGTCTCCATATTTTTTGTTTGCCTAAAAAATTCTACTGATTATTGTCTCTGGATATATAAGTGTTGCCTGGAGATAGAGGATGAAAAATTGCCTCCAGTTTCATTCTACACATGAAATTAGCAGGACCAATTATCTTCATTTCCTGTAGGGTCTGTAGTATATTTTCCAAATAGAATGCCTGAAGATTGCTGTATCTAAGTCTTAACATTTAAAAGTTTGTCAATGTAGCTATGAAAGTTTGATACATAAATCAAGACACACATCGACTTTTCCTTCTCTATATCTATGAAAGTCCCAGATGGCATCTTATTCTGATAGAAATCTGTTTTGTCTGTATCAGAAATACGTTGTTTAGTGCAGCCACCTTCATGAATTACCTTAATTCCATCTGGATAACTTGCTGGAGCTTCTCCATCAGCACTTGATGCTTCATTTTTCACTTTTGTGTTATAGAGATGGCATCTTTCCTTAAACTTCATGAACCAATCTCTGCTACCTTTACATATTTTTCTGTAGTTTTCTCACCTCACTTAGCCTTTATGAAATAAAAGAGGCCCTTTCTCTGGTTTAGACTTTGGCTTTATGGAATGTTGTGACTAGTTTGATCTATTCAGATTACTAAAACTTTTTTCATATCAGCAATAAGGCTCTTTTAGTTTCTGTGTTCTTTTTTGTGTTAACTGGAGTGGCACTTTTAATTTTCTTCAGTAACTTTTCCTTTGTATACACAACTTGGCTGTTTCAAGCAAGAGGCCTAGCTTTCAGCCTGTCTTGGCTTTCAACACGCCTTCTTCACTAAGATTAATCATTTCTTGCTTCTGATTTAAAGAGAGACATGTGACTCTTCCTTTCACTTGAACACTTAGAGGCCCTTGTAGTGTTATTCATTGGCCTACTTTCAATATTTTTGTGCCTTAGGGAATAGGGAGGCCTGAAGAGAATGAGAGAGACAGTTAGTGGAGCAGTCAGAACACACAGAAACATTTATCTATTAAGTTTACTGTCTTATATGGGCTTGATTTACGGTGCCCTCAAATATTACCATAGTAGCATCAAAGGTACCTGATCACAGATCACTATAACAGGTATAATAACAATGAAAAAGTTTGGAATATTGTGAGAATTACCATAACATGATACAGAGACGTGAAGTGAGTACACGCTACTGAAAAACGGCGCTGAAAAACTTGCTTGAGTCAAGGATGCCACAACTTTCCATTTGTAAAAAACAGGGTATCTACAAGGAGTGATAAAGCACAGCACAATAAAAGGAGATATGCCGATATGCCTGTACAATTACTATGTGTCCATTTTAGAAAACCCAGTACTTGCTAGTTATTATAATTTTCTGCTTTTTTCTAAAAGTTGAGTTTTGAAAAACACAATGTAATTGATAGTTTCATTAATGCTTTATTACATATAAATAATGGTGCAATAAGAATATATAAATTAGCCCAGCAAACAGAAAACTGCAATTATTTTATGCTTCACTGGAAGATAGAAGTATCAAGGAAGGTCCCTGGAGATCAGAATGTGCTTTGATATTATTCAACACAATCATTAAGCAGTCAGTGGAAAATGTGAATGAGTGCACATCCAAATCTATAATAATAAAATGTTAGAACTGAGAGATAATAAATCAGTTTGATCAAAAATACAGATGGATCTGGACAGCTGGAGAAATCATTCATATTAGAAAGAGAGGAGTTTTAATGAAAGGAATAGTAAGATCATGCATTTGAAGAAGAATAATACACAGTAGGAAAATATGAATTAATAAAAAGCTAAGATATATAGAAGTAATTACAAAGAACATTATTTTAGTGTATTCATTGATATACTGTGTTTTAAGTCCAGTGTAATAACAATGAAGGATAATTGTGTTCTAAGTTTCCTAACTTGAATAACTGGAAAAGAAAAAGAGAAAAATTATACTACTACTTAGCTAAACAATAATATTTTGTCCATAAGCTTAATGGAGATTTTATAAAGTTAGCCAATTTGAGAACAAAGTAGGAATTGTAATAAAAGCTGGCAATTTTAACTACCATAGTGATAGCAGTTAGAATTGTTTTATATTTAAAATATTGAATTCATTGACATATCCCCAATCTTGGATATTAATCTCAACTCTGTCTGCCCCAAAGTTTTCTACCAGGTCTACTCTTGTGTGTTTAAGTCTTTTAACTCCAAAGCAACATTACATACTCTTTCTTTGCACTCAGGTTGCAGTGAAACTATTTAAACCAAAGACCCATAATTGGTTGTTTTGACTAAAATAAAACCAGTTCTAATCCCCTCAATATATCACACACTCTGACAATAATTTAGGCCAGGCCACTTCCAATTTTATAATTTTTTATATTGCTAAGAACAACAAGAAATTATTATTAGAACAGAGCTTCAGTTTGTCCCCAGGGAGACATGCATTAACCAATATAATTATTAGTTGATTTCAACGGAAAATATTCTGAATTTTAAAAAGCAATGGTACTATGTGTAAAAACATGGTCTACTGAGATGGTAGTGTCCACGTCAAATGTTCATAAAATTTTGAAGAACCTACTTGAGAAGGTCTGCTATAACAGGAGAAACCCTGATTGAGCATTTAGAAAAAATATACATTTTTGTGCCAATTCTATTCTACTTGCTTTGTAGTCTTGGCAAGTCTCTGATTCTCTCTAGGACGTACTAAAATCATGATAGTAAGAGTTACTGACAAAACTGGAAGTCATATATAAAGGTAAACTACTACTATCAACCTTATTAATATTAGTTTTAATATTATTTATTTATAAACAAATACAGTAATGTTCCAGATAAAATACAGACATTTGTCCAAGCGAGGGTACTTACATATGTTTTAATAAAACTTATAAATGTTTTATAAAACTCCTGAACACTAAAATATTAAACTTTAACCTTTTTTTTGAGTTGAGTCCATTTTTATTGTGGATCATAGCTCATTGTGGTCAGTATCGTTAGCTGTACCATCTGCCATCCTTCTCTGTGAGCCACCTCTGTGGGAGAGCCTAAATTTGGCCCAAGAAATCAGGATCAAGAAGGAGAAAAAAAGCCCTGGGCCACATGGTCGCTACTGCTATATCTACACCTAACAGTCACTGAACACTAACCCAAGTGTGACGGTTTCCACGCAGGAGACCCAAGTGGCTCTGCTAGGGAGAATAACTTATTTGCCTAAAGCTTTTTTGTTTGTTTGTTTTGTTTTTCTCAAAAGGAAAAAAAAAAAGCTGGTTTCTAGAAACAGATGTGGAATTGAAGACTGTCCCAGGGAGCCAAATTTTACGGATGAATCACAAACTTATTGCTTCTCCAACAGTGTCATGAATCCATCCATTCCTTGCACCATCAGACGTTTTTCATGCATTCAAAAGTGTTTCTAGAGCTCCAGAACCACGAGAACCTCAGGCCCTGAGCACTCACACCCCCCAGAGAGCCTCCTGCACCAGACCTTTCTCTAGAAGTCCTGAGACTGGGTACTCTCCGAAAGCTGGAGGTTTGTGCGCAGTTTGTACATGTGGTTGAGTGCTTGTGTGAGGAAAGTCCCGCTGGTGTTGATCTCCATCAAGGTCAAGTTATCCAGCTTGGCAGGTTCCTCCTGCTGTCTCACAAAGCTGTCAGCAGACACTCAGAGTTTGGCTATATGAGTGTCCCACATATCCTTGACCAGGGTCGGGAAGCATGTTGTCTGAAGCATGATTAACAGCAGCTTGGTAAGTTCCATGTAGTAAGGGCTGGACATTAGGGTAGGTAAATGTTCCTTTCGTTCATGATCCCTCATCTTCTTCAGCTTTTCTGTGTCCATCCACTCCGGAGGGAGCAGCTGACATTTCTGTCTTTGTTTCAGGTTAATTGCCAGCTACGGGGCACTTCCACTGGTAAACCAAACCTGGGTTAAAAGGCCCCAGTCCCCTCGCCCCACCCGCCATGAGGTAGATCTTGTCCAGAGTGAAGTAGGGGATGGCGGTAACCAGCTCCCTCGGCCAGGAACTCCACCTCATCCGCGTTCTGACCCGAGGCCGGACCCGAGGGCAGTCTGGCCGCTTCGCAGTCAGGGCCAGCGCGGAGCCTGCGAGGGATGCGCATCCTGGGGCTCCCCCGCTGCGGGCACCATGGGCGTTGCCCACTCCCACTCCGCGTCCGAGGAGGTGCGGGAGCTGGAGGGCAAGACCGGCTTCTCATCGGATCAGATCGAGAAGCTCCATCGGAGATTTAAGCAGCTGAGTGGAGACCAGCCCACCATTCGCAAGGAGAACTTCAACAACGTCCCGGACCTGGAGCTCAACCCCATCCGATCCAAAATTGTTCGTGCCTTCTTCGACCACAGGAACCTACGGAAGGGACCCAGCGGCCTGGCTGATGAGATCAATTTCGAGGACTTCCTGACTATCATGTCCTACTTCCGGCCCATCGACACCACCATGGGCGAGGAGCAGGTGGCGCAGTCCCGGAAGGAGAAGCTGAGGTTTCTGTTCCACATGTACGACGCCAACAGCGACGGCCGCATCACCCTGGAAGAATACCGAAATGTGGTGGAGGAGCTGCTGTCGGGAAACCCGCACATCAAGGAGTCCGCTGGCTCCATCGCCGAGGGGGCCATGATGGAGGCGGCCAGCGTGTGCTTGGGGCAAACGGAGCCTGATCAGGTATACGAGGCGATCACCTTCGAGGACTTCCTGAAGATCTTGCAGGGGATCGACATTGAGTCCAAAATGCACATCTGCTTCCTTAACATGGAAACCATGGCCCTCTGCCACTGACTGGCCGCCACCTCCACGGAGAAACTGCACTTTGCAATGGGGCCGCCTCCCCGCCGGGCTGGAGCAGCCCAGGCCCAGCGGACAGCCTCTCCCTGCAGCTCCGGTACATGGCAAAGGCTCCTCTGCTCACCTTGTGTCTTGTAGGGTATGGTATGTGGGACTTTCCTGTTTTTAACTCTAATAAAAAAAAAAATCTCACCCAGTTAATTAGTCGGTGTGGGCTGCCACAGCAAAACCACATACACTGGATGTCTTAAACCACAGACATGGATTTCTCATAGTACCCTCTTCTTATAAAGACACTTATCTTATTACTGTCATCTACTTTTATGATTTCATCTAAACCTAATTACCTCCCAAAGTCCCTACCTCCTTAATCCATCAAACTGGGGGTTAGGGCTTCAGCATATAATTTGGAGGGACACATTCACTTCATAACTCCAGGGTGTCATTTATTTTTCTCTCTACTCTTTCTCTTAAAAAAATTAATTTATTGTCTTGGATTTCTCACTTTTACGTTCTTTTAGAGTTTTGTTTGTTTTTGTTTGTTTGTTCAACTATCTCTTCTGTCCTGGATAACTGGTGTTTATCACAGCAAGGTAATGATTTACAATACTTTTAATAAGTCATAATTACTATCACTTCTCATTTCATGTGATGTCAGTTAGGTGAGTGCTTACTTGTTTTGTCATTTGCAGAGAAAGGAGAAAAAAAATTTAGTATTCACTGTAGCTTCTTCATTTTTATAAATGGTGTTTCTTCCTGCACTGCTTTCTGCTGCAGTCCCAGAAGCACTTACTAATTCTGAAACCCTCTCTTGGGTGATTCTCTGAATTGGAAATTGTGACCTTGAGGCTGTATTGATAGATCATTTCTTGTGTGCTCTGACTCCATGACTATGTTGAATTCCAGAGAAGAGCATCTTTCCTTTGCTCTGGGTGATTCATTTGTCTCAAGGGTCTTTGCTACTCTTCCCTCATGGGGACAATTTCATGTATGTGACCTCTCTGGGCACCAAATACAAGTACAAACTCATGGCCAATATATATGCTTACAATATAGTCACATAGGTAAGAGAATGGAAGAGGCCAGGTAGAACATATAAATCAAGGAGTAACTTTAGCCAAATAATTTCATGCTATAGCATATATGGGTCAGAGAATATTTTTGAATAAATAACACATCTTAGAAATTATTACTAAAAAAAAATCTTTGCTTGAGAATTGAATTTATTTTAGATTGTTATTTATTTATTTATTTGTTTGTTTGTTTATTTATTGAGACAGGTTCTCACCCTGTTGCCAAGGCTGGAGTGCAATGGCGCAATCTCGGCTCACTGCAACCTCCGCCTCCCAGGTTCAAGGTCTCCTGCCCCAGCCTCCCGAGTAGCTGGGATTACAGGTGTGTGCCTCCATACCTGGCTAATTTTTTGTATCTTTAGTAGAGATGTGGTTTCAACATGTTGGCCAGGCTGCTCTCGAACTCCTGACCTCCCGATTCACCCGCCTCAGCCTCCCAAAGTTCTGGGACTACAGGAGTGAGCCACCACACCCAGCCCTAGATTGTTATTTTAACATTTGACTATAATGCTTACACTAATACTTAAATCAAATTTTGAGGACAAATCACAATTATGTTATTCAATAACCAGCATTCTATAAAACAGTTCATTAAAATATTCCTTTATTATAAGGAAGGAAACTGACCACATCCTAAGGGCTCCTAGATAATAAGCAGGAGAACCAGGGTTAAGATATATGTCTATTACAATTCAGAGCAGTCCAAGGTCTTAAAAACTGTCTCTACCTATTGGCAAAATATTATAGTCAGCAAAAGTATGAGTCCCTGAGTATATTTGTGAAGCTAAAAGCATGAAGGTAAAAGTGACATTCTAGCCCTCACACTCTACACTGACCAGGTATTAAACAAAAGCCTTATGTCTGGAGTTTAGACAGTATAGAAAACCCTTCTACCCCTGACATCTACAGGCATACATTGGAGACCTTGATAAAGTTATTTAGGAAAGTTCCTACATTGCTGACTCTGTCCTGGAAGCACACATTCCAGAAGACATGCAATAAATTTTGGATTGTTTAAAGGCCCAGTATAATACAATGAAATGACAATCATCCTGAAAACTAAGGTCTTGCTGGGCAAATCCTACACTTGGCAGCAACTCTCTCCTGACCTATAGGGCTCAGAGCTGTCACTGTATTCTGTTACCTCCATCGCTCATCGCCAGTCTCCATTACACTGTGTTATATTGATACACCAGCACCCTATTTATGTATGGCTTCATAAAAGAGAAAACATCACTAAATATTATAAAACCAAAGTAGCCACATTATACCTGAGGGTAAACCCGGGAGGAAACCAAAAATGAAGAAAGAAAAAGATAAGGAAGAGCAAAACACTTTCATATTTGAGCACATATTACCTCAAATGGTTTCTTTGTAGCCATGGAAGTAAAATGATATATATTAATATCAGTAAAACAGTGATTACTACTTTATCACACAATAAATGATTTGCTCTATCCTACACTTTATGGCTGGCAAACAGAGAAATTCAAGCATAGGAACGCTTTTAGATATGATATGATATATGTGTTCAAATGAGATAGTCAAGAATAGCTCACAAGTTAAGTCTTCACTACTGATTTGCTTTTATCTTCGGTGACTTTACTTTTAGCCATTTATTCTCAAACACAAATAGGGCCAAGTGACAAACCAGTGACAGCAAGATGATATTGGATCAGTTAAAAATTTCTTTTTGAAAACATACAACAAACAAACAAAACACTATTATTTTCATTGAGTTTTAACAAACTCATATGTAAGGATCTCACTGGTCCAACTGAGGTAATGAGTCATTGAGAAGCTTAAAGCGTCCTGAATGGCCACATGGGGGTCACATCTATTTCTAAAGCTCAAAGCTGAGCCAAACTCTTTCTAATCACATGGACTAAGATTGAGGAAAGAATTATCTCTTCCCGGAAAAGTCAAAGTTCTTTTACCAAAAAAAAAAGGTAAATGGTTGCTGGGTAGGTAAAATATTAGGTGTCCAGTATGAATGGCACTCATGAGAAGAAATGAAACTTAAAAGAATTTAAGAATATTAACATATGCTCAGAGCCTAGAGAGCCTTTAAACACTATCATTCCCATTGTTCAGTATCCAGACATGATTTATTGGCAAGCACTGTGTTAATGTTGTCTTCAATTAGCAAAATGCACTTGAAATTATCGAGATGCTGTACCAGAATGCTACCATTGCTTTTACAGCCATGGTTAGTAGACATGCTCTGATATGAAGCCAGTATATTTTTTAGCCAAAAGAAAGACTGGACCACAGAAACTCAGCCCGTAGAAATGTAAAAAGAATTACTAATTATTTGAAATAAACAGAAATAGCAGCAGGCAGCTGGCAGCTAGAAATCTGAGATGGGCTGACACCATTTTGGAAAAAAAAGTCTCTGTAGGACTACATTTTACAGACTAATAGAAAAGAGGTAGCGCTTCAAACACAAAGGCATGTCTGAATGCAGAAACCTCACTTTCTAAAAAGCAGCTTCCAATAACTGCCTCTTTCAGAACAGGTACTGTTTTTTTCAGTCTCTTCCTCCACTATCACCATTAGTTTCAAATATTAAAGCATGATAACTATGTTTGTATACCATATAGGTGTAAATGCCATGCACACCCTTGTAGGAGAACCATCACATGGATTTAAGCAATGTAGTGAAGTGACCCTGTCTCCAAAACAACGAACTGTACAAACAACAAAAAAATAGCAACTACAATTTAATGCCCAAATTCCAGTAATCAAAATAGAGATATTATACTTAAGTCTCAGAAAAATTTAAGACTACTTGAGAAAACATGATTAAGAACTTTTTAAAAAGTACATTGTCTGGTCTGCATGAAGCCAGGAAAATTGAAATTTTAGTGATAGTTTGCTTTAGTGATAGAAATTATATCAGCAAACTCTTGTATACATGTGCTGTAACTAGTTTAGTCTCATCAGAGTTTAAAAAAATGTATGAGTATGTGTATATGTATGTGTATCTGTCTGTAGGTATGCATTTATATATAATACTGTTCTTAATGGCACAGGTATTCACTTAGACTCTTAAGGACATGCTATAAAAAGAACAATTCTTATGGTGTAATTTAAATGCAGTAAGAGAAAAAGGATTAAGTGCATACACTTTCATTTAGCAGGTTCAGCTAGCTTATTTGTGCATCCAACATAATCTCTTAAAAATTACCATAAGCAAAATATAACAGATTGTAAACGGTTGCTCATATTAATTTAGCTAAGTACTTGTAATCTGCCTAAGCGTTATTTAACAGAACATGATTGCAAAACAGTATGATACCTCCAGAGTTTGAAAGACTCTTATGTGCCTAAATCATATTTAGCCATCAGAAGGCTAAAATAGGAAATACTTTAACAGTAGATACTTTCCTAATATATGCAGATTTATTTTTCTTCCAAATGGAAAAGTACATTTGACTGAGTCAGAAAAATCAACAAAAAATCTCTGGACTTGAATGGGACTTTAGACCAAACAGAGCTAGTAACCATTTACAAAAATATTCTATCCAACAGTGGCAAAATACACATTTTTTTCTTATCTATACAAGGAACATTCTCCAAAATAGACCATATGCTTGGCCATAAAGTTTCAATAAATTCAAAAATATCAAAATTAAATCAAGTATCTTCTTGGTCCAAAGTGGAAAAAAATCAGAAGTCTATATTTTAAATTATTTCTAAAATATAGTTCCTCCTCTTGGTATTTTATTTCATTCATCTTTGAAGCAAATGCAAGCACAGTAAGGAAAAAGGAGTAAAACACTCTCTGAAAGACAAAACACTTTAGTTTTTTAAGAACTAGGCTTTGGTGAAAGATAAAACATTTTCCTAGAATTCTAAAAGACATACGTATATTGCATAGTGGTGGAAGCTGGGCTGCTAGTGTAACCATTACCCAAATAACGTAAATTGTACCCAACAGACAAGATCCCTTACCCTATCTCTCACCCTTTGGGGTCTCCAGTGTCTACTATTCCAATCTGTATATTCATATGCACACATTGTTTAGCTCACACTTGTAAGAAAATGTACTGTATTTGACTTTCTGTTTCTGAGTTATTTCACTTAAGATAATGGCCTCTAGTTCCATCTA